CCCCATCGGCTGGATCTTGCTTCGTTGTGAGATGGACCCCTTTTTTCCCTGCTGGTGCCGGTGCCGAGCCAGGGCATATGTCACGACTTTTTTCGTTTACGACTCCATGATGACGGGCGTTGGACGTAAGGACCGAGTCTGCGTACGCAAGCCGCTCGCTTGGTATTGCCCACCCGAGTACGGGATGTACATGCGGTGGTACTCGGCAGGCAGGGCGGGGGCCATCGGACGGAGCATGCGTCGGCCCTCAACGTTATCTGGTGGACGGGGACGGAACGGACATGGAGCGCTGGCGGAACGGAAGACGGCCAGAACGGAGCCTCAGCAGTCGAGTCGTGGAACCGGTTCAATATGTGTGTGTGTGTGTGTGTGTCTGCAGAGCAGCTTGCTCTGCGTGGCATGGGCGATCGACGACTCCAACATGACTGAGATGAATCGGCTGGGCGCCGTGAATTATACTGCACAAAAGGACACGACGTGGTCGAAAGAGGAATGGACCGAGGCTTGCCCCAAGAACTCGGTCAGCCGGTAGCCTAGATTTGCCCATCAGACGGGGGGTCGTGTGGGAGAATTTCGTGAGCCCTCTCACACTCTCAGTGTTCCAAGGCGAGCCGAGCGGCAGACGATAAAAATGGTGAAATGCGCGCTGCGGAGATATGTCCAGCTACAGCAGGTAATGCGCTGAACTGGCACATTTAGGCCGGCCTAGAACATGCGGCTGTCGGGCTCTAGAGTCGCAGAAGCTCTCGTGACGGGAAGTTTTGGGGGCCCTTTTCTTTTGGCGTCGTGGGAACACTGAAGGAAAAAGCTGCTGTGCGTCCAATACGGTGGGCGGTCCAGTAAGGTCGAAAGGCATACACCCCCCTCTGGCGCAACATCGCGCTGCCGGGGGGGGGGGGGGGGGGGGGGGGGCCACCGTCTGCTGCGTTTCACCGATCCTCGCCCTCGCCGTCGATGTTCGGTTAAAGAGGAGACGGTCAGGGCCTGGAATCAGATCGGGGGCCCTTAATGAGATGGAGGTACTGTTTCGGTGGGCGCTTGGTGAGGAGTGTACCTGCGTCGCGGTATGCGTAGTGGGATCGTGATTCCTCTGAAGCCTGAGGAGCCCTTCGGATGGTGAGCGGCTAAGGCAGGCTGTCAGAGGGAGGGAAACGCTAGAGCAAACGCCAGAGCCTGGAAGGGCCAGATGGAGTCGCAGGAGGAGGCACTGGACTCTCTGGAGAGCAGCTCACTGGAGGGCGCACCGTCGGGGGGGGGGGGGGTGGCAGGGGGCTGCGGGACGGGGACACTGGAGAGTTGGGAGGACACACGCCCCCCTTCCTGGCGCGGCGACAGCGCAGACCATCCCGTCCCACGCATCCATGGACCATGGCCATCCCAGCACGTCGGCCATCTCGATGCGATCGCGAAATGACGTCACTAGCCATGGTGGGGTTTGGGAGACTCGGAGTCTGTTTTTCTCTGCTGGCCCCATGCTACCTATGCTGCTAGCAGTGGTGTCCCAGAGCCAGGCCAAAGATAGAGCAACCGCGATGCACACACGCACGCAAACACCCCCCGGACTGAATTGGAGCCTTGGAGCTTGCTGCTACGGGATGGTTTCGTGGTTGGGCGGCCGGGAATCAGTCCGGTTCGACTGACACGACTGGATAGGTCTGGGCAAGGTGCAAACTAGGTTGTCAGGTATGCGTGCTGCGTCCCGCGTCCCCCATCAGCGGTGAGTGGAGGGGGGAGATATCGCCGCCGCGAGCAACAATGAAATACAGGCACAGGTACAGACAGGCGCGGTGCATTCGCATTGGCACATGCAACGTGACAGAGACGGAGTTGCCGCGCGAAGAATATGGGTAAAACATGAGATCGACCATGGGAATTACCACTCGGCGCTCTCTGCACGCAAAGTCAACAACGACCTGAGAAAAGGTTAGTTACCGCGTTGCCTTTTGTCTCCTAATCCATGATGCCGGGAAACAGAGTCGATCGGCCGATGCGAGTTGCAAGGGGACAACCCTGAAGTTGGTGGTGTTGTAGGCACCGCACAGTATGGAGGGTGGTGTGTGTGTGCTGCCCGCGGACACCACCGCAGCGACGGCACCGTAATGGTTGGACAGCCGTTCACCGTCTTCTCAACGGGGGGCTTGGCCTGGGCAGCATCCAGGATCGATCGTGGAAAGCGGGAAACGGCAAAAGTGCGTCGAGCAAAACATGGCATTTCTGAGAATCAATGGTGGACATTTGGAGGGGCTGTGGTTGGGTGGGCTGGCCGGCGCATCCAATTATGCTGTCACGATGCAAGGCCGCCGCCTTCGATTCCGATCGTTTTGAGCAATGTCCGATGTCCATGCTGCATGGCCCAGGCAGGCAGGGCAGGCAGGTTGGCAAGGAGGATCCAAAACACCATGTCTCTGTCTATCCCGCCTCGCTTGATGCAGCGCCGCTGCTAACCACGGGCAGCGATGTGAATGAGCAGGCCGGCCTGTGACTCGTCCGTCAGTCTGTTAGTCCGTCCGAAGCTGCTGATGATCCCGGGCCGCATCGAAGAGAAGAGACAGCAAGAGAGGGGAAGGAATGTGCGGCTGAGAGCATGCAAGGCGAGCCATGGCATTGTTGCAAATTCCCACCCTTTTCGGGATTCTCGTGGGCTCATATTCGTGCCGTGGCGGGCTGGAATCAGATGGGCTTGTGGTGCCGCTGATGCTCAGACCATTCCATGCACCGGCGCTCGTGACACACGCCCTGGTTGTTGTCTCTCGGCGCGAGTTGGATATCGGCCGCGTTATTGCAATTCGATGCTTGCCGGCTCCTGCTAGCCCGGCCAACTGCGCGTTCGTCTGCCTCCTCGTTGCCCAGTCTGTCCATCCCGTGTTTCTCTCATTCCCCTTTCCTCTCGAGAGGCCAGAAGAGCGCAAGACGGAGACAGACAGAGGCGGCCAAGGTTCGCGGGATCAGACATTGATAAACAGGCAACTTCAGACAAGTTGAAAACAGCCTGATGTCTGGTTTGGTTGGCTTCTCGTCTCCCGATCTCGCCCTCTCGTCGGACGTTTCTCTCCATTGGATCTGATTTGATGTCTCTTGGTTCGGCACCACCTTGTGTTATGTGCTTGGCTCGGGGCTACTTTTGCTGGGCAGAAAACGGTACGCCGGGCCCCGTTCTGTCGTCGTTTCGCCCAGTCAGAGCTGCCGCAGCTGACATTACTGTACCTCTGCTGTGTACTGTGGCCCGTCTGGGACAATTGACCGTTCCAATTCCCGTTCCCTTCCACCACACACCCCCCTCCCCGCAGGTACCTCGCAGCAGCACCCTTGCCCACCCAGGTACACCACCTTACACTCCTGAGCAAGCCTAGGCGGACTGGGCAGCTCCTTTCCCGGGCTCTCTCTCCCACGCTTCACGGTTCAACACACCTCAGAAGCATCACCAAGCTGTGTCTGTCTGCCAGCCAGCAAGTCCAGCGTGTGCTTTCCCTGCTTGCACCCCTCACCCCCTCCCCCCATCCGCTCCGCTGAGTATCCCAGGTCAAGGCCCTTTCTGGAACAATTAAAAACCACTTTCCCCCTCCACGCTGAAGCCGTCGTGTCTGTCCTGGTCTTGATCCTGCTCGATCTTCCACTCTTCCAGACTTAATCACAAGCATCTCTAAGCCCCCTCACCTCTCTCAGAGACAAGGAAAACAACCACGAACAAACGCGGAACCGCAGCGGCACCTCGACCCAACAACACACCCTGTCAACGAGTTGCTGTAGATCCACCTCACGCTCTCACCGCGAAGGCAACAAGAGCAGACGACGGCGACGACTGATCGACATTCGTGCGGACTTACTGCTTGCTGCATTCTCCACGTGCGCCCGCCACTTGCACCGCCCATATCCAACTACGGCCACCTTTTGGTTCGAGCTTCCCTGCTACCGGACTTGAACCCGGCGAACAGACGGTCTGGACTATTGGAACACGAGAAGACAGAGAAAGACTCTGAAGAGCAAAAAAAAAAAAAAAAAAGGGAGAGCAACAGAGAAGGACATTTTGGAAACGCCATCCACGGTAATTGCGCAGGTAAGCTATCCAATTGTGCTAGTATCACAAACTGGTTGCTCAGTTCAACACACCCCCGTCAATTTCCCCAAACAAGCCAGCCCCATCTTGTACCGCGGCCGCGCCCTCGACATAGAGTTGCCCATGTAGCAAATGGCGTCCCTACGTTATGCAAAAGCGAAGGACGGCCTGTAGGGTAGGGGGGAGGGGGCCAGCCGGGCAAAGCAGACGTCACGGACAGAAAACCAGGTTTCTCTTGTTTTTTTTCTTCGGTCGCTCTGCTCTGCTCTGCTTTGCTGTGGTTCGCTTTGTTGCCCCGACTGCTGTAATTCACTACTACCAGTTGTACTGCTGCTCCTTGCACAAGTTTAAAGAGAGACGGGAGGAAGAGAGCGCGCTCGCTAATGCCGTCGCCACGGTGTGCAATAGGTTGCTTTCCAGAACCCAGCAAAACGCCAGAGCCTGAGCCAGTCTAGACGTGTGTGTGCACCTGCTGCCACTTTCGTTACCCCGCCGCCTTTTGCACGCCTCGACCAGGTCCTCCTCTTCTTCCTTGCCCTGGACGCCCCGCCGAACAGCCGCCCCTCCTGCGAAACAATTCCTTGAAGCTCGCTCCCCGCCGTCACTGGTTCCTTTTTCAAACCCGGCCAACTCCAGCGTCCTCCGCCCGTCATCCCTCCCTCCAGCTGCACCATCGCATTTTAACCGCAAACCCCCCTCGGTCGATATCAAAGCATCGCTCTATTCGACTTGGTTCGTTTTGTCCGTTTATTCCCTCATCACCGCAACGAAAGGAAAAAAGTGCAACCAGAGCATAATCTGTTCCGTCGATCTCCCGACAGCCGGTCTCCTGCTCCACCACCCCTCACACCCTTCTCTCTAGTTCTCGACAGCGCCCATCGCCAAACTCTCCCTTTTGTTCACCACACACAACAGACCCGATCGCGAAGATCGACCATCGCACAAAATGGCGGAATTCATCAGAGCACAAATCTTTGGTACGACCTTTGAGATCACCTCAAGGTACTCGGACCTGCAACCCGTAGGCATGGGCGCCTTCGGTCTCGTTTGGTTAGTCTGAGAAGCATCTGTCGCAGCGGCTACGGTTGTCGCTGCGAGCCTCCCATCATCCTGCTGACATGCCGTTTCTGCTGCCAGCTCCGCCCGTGACCAGCTCACCAACCAGAATGTCGCCGTCAAGAAGATCATGAAGCCCTTCAGCACCCCGGTGCTCGCCAAGCGCACATACAGAGAGCTCAAGCTGCTCAAGCACCTCAGGCACGAGAACGTATGTTGCGGGTAGTAGTTATCAACCATCGGGCAGGCTCTAACACGCAGCAGGTCATCTCCCTGAGCGACATCTTCATCTCTCCCCTCGAGGATATCTACTTTGTCACAGAGCTGCTGGGCACCGACTTGCACAGGCTACTCACCTCCAGGCCCTTGGAGAAGCAGTTCATTCAGTACTTCCTCTATCAGATTATGGTATGCTTCCGCTCTCTCTGTAGCACTCGACGCCAATATGCTGACCCCGTCGCAGCGCGGATTGAAATACGTCCACTCCGCTGGAGTTGTTCACCGTGACCTGAAGCCCAGCAACATCCTCGTCAACGAGAACTGCGATTTGAAGATTTGCGACTTCGGCCTCGCTCGTATCCAGGACCCCCAGATGACCGGCTACGTCTCGACGAGATACTACCGTGCCCCCGAAATCATGCTCACGTGGCAAAAGTACGACGTCGAGGTTGATATCTGGAGCGCGGGATGCATCTTTGCCGAGATGCTCGAGGGCAAGCCTCTCTTCCCCGGAAAGGACCATGTCAACCAGTTCTCCATCATCACTGAGCTGCTCGGCACTCCCCCCGACGATGTTATCAACACTATTGCTAGCGAAAACGTGAGTGAGCCATCATGTCGTGAGATGCCTAGGAGTTAACCACCCCACAGACCCTCCGCTTCGTCAAGTCGCTCCCCAAGCGCGAGAGGCAACCCCTGAAGAACAAATTTAAGAATGCCGACCCGTCGGCCATCGACCTCTTGGAGAGGATGCTCGTTTTCGACCCCAAGAAGAGAGTAACGGCCACCGAGGCGCTCTCGCACGACTACCTCGCCCCCTACCACGACCCCACCGATGAGCCCGTGGCTGAGGAGAAGTTCGACTGGAGCTTCAACGACGCCGATCTGCCAGTGGACACTTGGAAGATCATGATGTATGTCGCCCCGAGCACGCACTGACACTGATTCGAATGCTAACACGGCCTTTCACAGGTACTCTGAGATACTCGACTACCATAATGTGGACGCGGCAACTCAGCAGATGGAGCAGGAGCAGCAATTCAACGGGCAATAGACGACGGCGCAATTTTTTTTTCAAAAAAAAAAGGAAAGGGGGGCCTAGCGAGGACAAATAGGAGCGAGGAGGCTATGATACCACGCAAAACCTGATGGGACGTGTTTCCAGTACATTCACACACACTGCCTTGGTGTTCGGAAGACGGGTTCGGTTTTTGTAACGTTGACACAATGCAGAGGGCCAACAGTATACGCGATAAAGGAAATGGCATGCATCTCGGAGGTGTTTTTATCTTTTTATGTTTCCTTCAAACCATGTTGTAACGGCATTTCCTTTTTCCTTTCTTTCTCTGGGGGACCCTCGACTGTTAGATGATAGCCCGCGGCATTGAGGACGGTGGTGTGAGGCAGCAAAGGGTCTCCAGGCCCTGGGAAGACGACTATACCTATCGAACGAACACGAATAGCCATGGTCTTGTAATCACCAGAGAGGGCTGTGGGGGAAGCCCATCTGGAACGATGAATGGCGCAACGGTAGAGTCGGCGAGAAGAATAGAAGAAACCGCGAAAACACCCAATGGCTGTGATCTACCGCATCGGTGCTGATGCTCCGGCTACACCGAGTGATGCATCGGCCGATCGGGCCTACGGTGAAGTCTCGCGGGGGTCGCACGGCAGCATGTGCCGCAGACCGCCTCATCGACAATCTGACTCGGTTCAGTTGGATTCGTCGCAAACCATTTACCACTGGTGGAGATCAATTATCACTTCATCTGACTGCGAACCAGCCGGCAGTCAGAGTCAGTTGCAAGGAAGTCACTGGACGAAAAAGAGGGTCGCCACATCACGGCGAGGTAGCATTGGATGAGATGGGACGGCGCGGGAAGAGATGCGATTGATTCAACGAGGAGGGAGATTCTGGGAATCCCATCCCATTCCAAGGTTCATGCAATGCAAGACACGCTGGCGGTGCTCGTAGGCGGAGGCGGGTGTACGTGGTTCTTTTGCCTCTTCCGGGAACGAGGTTTTTGCCTCCCAGACATTTCTCTGCCGTCGGTAGGAGTGCACTCCGGGGGGCTTCCGCGCATGGCGGGCGGCATGGAACTGGGTTTCTGGCTTCCAGAAGATCGACACAAGTCCTGACAATCCCTTCTAACGCGACGGGAATGGCTCATTGTGAGAGTGAGCTTGCCCGTGGCATGTAGATGTGCACTACGGACACAACGACGCGCATTCGATTGGACCGGTGACGGGTGGTCGGTGCTCCGTGCATGGTTGACGTGTCTCTGGGGTGGGCCATGTAGCTCGGCCGGCCCTTGGCGCTACGCCGGTTGGGGGCAAAGCGATTGACACTCAATGTCAGCCCGTGATGCTGATCGTGAGAGGTGCATGTCAATTGAAACGAAGCTATTCTCGTGGAATTCACAGCAGCCGGTTGATTAAGCTGCTTGGCCTGGCTGTGTTCAAGATGATACCCCCAAGACTTACAGGTGGCAGCGGCCGGCCCGTGCCAGACCCTGGACTGGTCTCACGACACGTGATCTCCAGACGTATCATGTCACTGTCCGAGGCGCCTGCCAACGCTGCAACCCCGGCACTGGTTGTCTGTGGTTCTAGAACGAGTTGCTTCAGAGATTGCCGCGGGGTTCATTTTGGGCGTGCTTCTCGAATCCCTGAGTGAACCACCACCTCCGGCCGAGGTGGGACGAGCAGCATTGTTTTTTCAAATGAGACGAAATTTCGATGCCGAGGGGTTCGTGAGGTGAGGGCAGAAAATTGAAATAAAGAGTGGAAGTGGTAATAAAGTATTACTTACAGAGATGCCTTAGCGCATTAGTACTAATTCAACAACTCATCGACCCCCGAACCCCCCAAGACTAACAAGGTGCAAGGTACCGCCGTGTCGTCTGCTGGGCCCTTACCCACCACGACAACACGTCCTCGACTCTCTCACCTCATCTCCCCTCCCTATCTCGCATTCTCTTCTCCTCTGGCTGTCCACAAGAGGCGAATTGCTCCCGTCTTCAGCTCTGCAGCCCTCGTTCGGCTCTCGTGTAAGCCAGCCGTCGCTTACTGCTCGCTCCTCGTTCCGCAATTCGTTCACACCAGCCAGCGAATCAACCACGCGAGACGCCGGCGGTGCGACACCCCGACCTTTACAGCTCATCAACACACGCGCACACGCGCGCGCTGGTCGAGCCGGACGACCGCCGTCACCGCTTCTCCAAGCTGGCCCTCTTCCCGCTCTGAGCGAATCCCACCAACGACACTGCCAACTGTGACCCCGATTGCCACGAAAGGCACAAGAGAAGCGTTATAAGAAGACCGCCGTTAATCCACCACTCCTCTTAATCGTTGACCTCCGCTGCGAGACGGGGTCAATTGCTTTTTGGATACGGCTCCCCTTGACCGTTGTGTGTCTCACTTCCGCCCCTCTTCTGAGTGGACAGCGCTCGATACTACGTCAGAACAAGCCCCTCACGTTGGCGGCACCTTTTTTGCTCGGAGGGGGGACGAATAGCTTCCACGCACGGCGAGGCTGACAGCGGCGCGAACCCGAAATCCCGTCGAGCCCGAACTTGCGACGAAACGTGCGACGGATTCTCGAAAGGGGTCCAACGCCGACCCGAAGGGAACTGCAAAGAGCCGAGGTGGGAATATACATGGCAAAGTCATAGGAGTGGGCCGAGTCGCGCCAAGGAAACCAAAGACCACAGCAACGAGAAAGCATTGGTAGTTGGAATTGTTAAGGGCCATTGGTCGGCTCGGAAAGCATTGTACAAAGACTTGTTTAGTGACTGGGCTGAAGCTGCGTCGTGGATACACCGAAAGACGTGGACGGGGACAGACACGGCATGGACACCCCCGAGGTCGCGACGCCCACGTCCGGCGTAGCAACGCCGCTGACAGTGCCTTCGACGCCTGCGAAGACGGGCTTCATCCCGCTGGTGACGGTCGTCGACTTCCACCATGCGCGCGGGCCCGAGGTCGAGATGTGGTTTGGCGTGCCCGAGGGCAGCGACCCGGCTGTCGAGTACGACTGGGGGCTGCTGCCGTTCATGGCGTTGAGCGACGGCGCACATCTGTGAGAGCGGAAACCCCGTGTGCGGCAACAAGACAGGAAGCTAATACTGGACAGATCGAGCGAGGACTTTTCCTACTTCACCCTCCTCCGCCCTGCGACCGCCACCGGGCCCGCGACGTCCCTATTCGGCATTTCGTGCACGCGGCAGCTCGACGCCTCACAGCTGATCAACCGCCCCGCCGACGTGACCCGCTCGACGGTCCAGAAGGCCGTCGTCGTCATCGCCGACACGCCGCAGCACTTTGGTATGATGCGCGAGCGGCTGAGCGTCGTCACTCAGGCCTGGTTCGCCCAGCGCGAGTTCACCGACACGGAGATCCTACGCCGCTTCCAGGAGAGCCTGGCAGAGGAGAAGGAGCGCGGGCTGTTGACCGAGGAGGAGAGCCGCGACCAGTATCTCGGCATGAGTCTTAGGGAGCTTGTGCGCGAGTTCAGATGGCAGACGTTGGTTCTGTTCAAGTGCTGTTTGCTGCAGCCAAAGGTGCGTCGCGCAGTCAGCCCTCGACGCGCTCATACTGACCGTTCACAGATGCTCTTTTTTGGATCACGTTGCGAGCGGTTATGCATGATGCAGTTTTCTCTCATTTCATTGATACCCGGTCTTATTCGTAATCTCATTGACTGCGCCGATCCCGAGCTGAACAGGTATGAAGAGAAGCTGAGGAAGCCCACGAGTCTGCGGACGAGCGATCGCAACTCTCTGCTCACTTACATGGGCCTGCCGCTGCAAATCTTCGGCAAGGTGCGTCGAACGTCTTTCATCTCTTGAGCATAGGCTGACACCCAACAGGGCAGCTTGTTTGGCCCCTACACACCCCTCCAGCAGCTCGACATCCTTGCCGACTTTGGCACAAAGTCCTACATTGTCGGCAGCACAAACTCGCTGCTCCTGCAGCAGCGAGACCGCTACAGCGATATCCTAATCAACCTGGACGAGCACACCGTTAATGTCACCTCCACATCCCTTCGCAACGCCCTGGCACTTTCGGCGGCCGACCGCCGCTGGATCGACTATCTGACTAACGAGGTGAACGAGACCTGGGATGAGGCCAACCCGGGCCGGCCCAAGACCATGGGCTACGTCGGCAGCGAGGAGTTTATCCGCCTGCAGTTCGAGGAGTACATCCTGTCGCTTGTCGCCTCGGTCAAGTACCGCGCCCACCTCCTCGCCAACCCTAACAACCCGCGCGCCCTCCTCCCGCACATCGAGGGCGACCCGTCGCTCGACTTTGGCAGCGACTTTGTGGAGTACTGGACCCGCACGGAGAACCACCGCATCTGGAACGCCAACACCGACTCACACCTCTTTGACGTGGTCGAGCCGCGGCATCCATGCGCCGGTGGCCTAACGATCGACGACGTGCAGAGGCGCATCGCGCAGCAGGTGCAGGACATGCACCTCGACGAGCGCCTCGCCGTCGGCAAGGAGGTGCTGGGGCGCAACTTCGCCGCCGGCAAGGAGAAGGCGTCGACCATGTTCAACAAGTTCTACGCCGACATGGAGGCGTTCCGTGAGAAGAGGGCGGAGGAGCAGCGCATCGCCCAGGAGCAGGCCGAGAAGGCTGGCGCGTCGGCGCCCCCTACGCCCACTATCGGATCCGAAACGGAGAAGAAGAGCGCTCAGGGCACGGGAGGCAAGGCCAGCTCATACGTCAGTTCATGGGTCACCTGGGCCGGCGAGAAGCGAAAGGCCGGATGGGGCGGCAGCGGCGGCGGTAGCGGTAGCAATAGGGACAGCACGAGTAGTAATACCAGCGGAGGGGGCGGAGGATACGGCGGCTGGGGCAGGGGATGGGGCAAATCCAAGACAACGGACGCCAACAAGGACGGCAGGACGTCCACCTCGTCGGCGAGCACCGAGGTCAACGAGAAGAAGGCCCTGGAGAGGAGCAGCACCAGCAACCACGACTTCCGTCCCCTGACGCAAGACTCGTTTACGGAGTCGCTGTTTTCTGCGGGGACGGTAGAGTCGGCGCCGGGCAGCCCCGAGAGGGAGCGCCGGCCAAAGTCAAAGGACGGCCCTGCTGCTGCCGCCGCCGCCGAGACACCCGCGGCGAGCGCTGATGGCAAGCTGAACGGGCAGGAAAAGGAGAGCACCATCAAGATGGTGGCGCCCGAGCCTGACAAGGAGCAGCCGCCGCTGACCCCTAAGCCCGCCATCATCGCGAAGGAGAAGCATGAATCGTCCGACGATGACGAGGACGAAGCCGCCCAGGACACACACGTCACGACAGAAGCCGCCGAAGCGGCCAAGGCTTGGGGTAGCGAGCGCGACTAAACGGACGTAGAACCCCTAAAGTCTTGTGTTCTTTTTATATATTGTAGTGAACATGGCGTTACATTGTCATTATTTAGCATAGTCCTATTGAAGGCAAGGGTGGGTGGGATGAAAGAGAGAAGGAGATTGTTTGGTGTGTCGAGACAACGCATAGCGAAGCATTCGGCAAAAGAAAGATTGCCGTTGTCGAGGGATGAAAGTTGATGGGTTGCATCTAGAAAGGGGTATGTATATGTGAGTTTGGGTGTGTGGATCTCTCCGCGTGTGCGTCGATCTCTTTATTCATATTTACACATGCAATGATGAAGTGCGTAACGGCCTTGGGTAGGTAGACAAGTCTGGTGGAGGAAGAAGGGAATACAGAGCATCAACTAATCTGCTGCGTGCGTGTGCGTATGTCCTGTCCAGGTGCACGAGTTGGGCCATGTTTACAATCATGCATCTATTCAAAGGCGCGAACCGCAGCTATTTAAGCATACCTGTTGCGTGTGTTTACTGCCAACCTACATCCCTCAACGGCCTCTCGGTCATGGCACTCTGGAAGGCCATCGTCGGCTTGCGTGGCAACCTTGTCACCGCGGCCAAAAGCGAACAAATTCCAAGACTCCGGGTCCATGCATCAAGCTCATACCTCACGTCCGCCCTCACTTCCAGTTATTCAAACCGGCCCAAGGATCGCTGTTCTGCTGCGGCTGTGCAGACCTGGGGTGCGCGCTCGAGGGATACTGGCCTTGTTGTTGGTAGTTTTGCTGCTGCTGCTGCTGCTGCTGGTAGTCTTGCTGGCCGTAAAAGGTCTGCTGGGGACCCAGCGGAGGGGGCCCGGGAGGGGGAGGGGGCGGCACGAAACCCGCAGGCATCTGCTGCGGTTGCCCGGGATAGTTGCCGTAGGGCTGGCCTTGGTTAAATGACGTCTGGTTGGGAGGAGGAGATGCAGGCCCGCGAAGGACGGTCGGGCCAAAGGTAGACTGATGAGGCGGCGGAGACGTCGGGCCGGGTGTGCGTCCGTATTGGCTTGGGTTGTACGCCGGCTGGCCGTATGTGTTGGCCGGCTGGGGCGTATACGATTGCGTCGTTGGGGGGGCGGCGAAGCTGGGGTATTGCTGCTGGTTGGCCGGAGGGGACTGAGGGACTTGATACTGCCCTTGGAAGTTGGTCTGGGGATACCGCGGCGCGGAGTTGCTGGCAAAGTTCAACGGGGACGGCGTCGGGCGGTTCGAGGTGGGCTTGGGCGAGGTCGCGTTCGGTTCCATCGACATGCGTTCCATCAGTCCCCTGAGGCGCTCGCGCTCCAACTCGGCGTGCGCATCCTTGCGGGTGGACCGCTCTTGTTCGATGCTGTTGAGCAGCTGCGCACCCTCCGAACGCCTGTTGTTGACAAACGTCTCGACGTTCTTCTCGAGGCTCTGCACGGTCTCCTTCATTTCGGCGTACCACGTCTTGGCGCCCTGCAGCCCGGCCTCGAGGTCGAGGAACTCTTGGTACGCGCGCTTGTACTTGTTCATGACCGCCGTCCTTTGTCTCTGCACCGCCTCGTACTTGCTCTGCTCCGACCTCACCCGCTTGTCCTGCAGAAGTGTGTTGAAGCTGGCCGTAAGCTCCTTCATCAACGCCGACTGCTTGTGGTTTGCCTGAAGCAGCCGGTTCTGGTATGGCCTGAACTTTTCCAGCTCCGACTGGAACAGCTGAGACTCGTAGTTTGAAATGGACTTTTTGTTGAGTATGAGAATCTCTGAAATGTCGTCGTTGTGAACCTGTCTTGGTCAGCATCTTTTCTGCAAGCATCAACACCAGGACCTACCTTTTCCTTGAGGTCTTTCAACACTTGATTGCGCTCCCTCTTGACCAGGTTCAGCTTCCTCATGATCTCCTCCACTTTGTGGATCTGATCGACGACACTGGGGCCCCCTTCGTCAAAGTCCATATCCAGCAGGTTCTCGTTGCCAGAAGGGCTGGCCGTGTTGCTCGTCTTGCCGCGGACCTTGCCGACCGCACGCTGGAACAGAGCGTCAATGTTTCCGTGTGCCGCGGCAGCCCTCATCTCCTCGAATTCAGCCTCGTTTTGCCGCAGCTTGGCCGCTAATTGGTTGTCGCTCCGCGCTGCTTCCTCCAATGCTTCTCGATAATTCCTTATGTCGCTCCGCAGCGTCGTTGTCAACCTGGAACTCGGTTGTTGCGTCCATTCGTTTTCGTATTTTGAGCGCATCTTTTCGCAAACACTCTCCTCCATGTCCAGCTGCTTCGTGTTCTTGTCCAGCGTGGTGATGATGTAGTCCTTTTCGGTCCGGAGTGTCTCAAATATGGATGTCGGGTCCTCGTGTCCTGCAACGTCCTCGCACCAGGTCCTAAACTCGTCGTCGGGAAGAATCTCCTGGTCGAAACCGCCCTTTAGAACCTGCAAAGCACCGGGTAACCTTAGATAATCCAGACTGGCAGCCATCTCGCTGTTGGCAATGTCCACTCGTTCCGTCTCCGCTCTGATAAGCTTGGCCTTCTCCTCGTCGTAGAGACTGGCCGACTCCGTCACAGCCAGGGGCACAATCTTGGAGAACAGGTCTGAGCCGGTGATCCGTTGAATATCCTGCCCGGCGTACAGTTCGCTCACGGGAATCGGCTTGGATGCCGGGAGCTTGGCGACCGGTGCGAGGCTCGCCTCCGCCGGCACGGTTTGGTGGTAGATAAAGTCATTGTCCTTGCTCAGCTCCTTCAGCTTATCTTGCACGGTCGACAAGTGCCTTTTTGTAAACTCAACGAGGAGCCCTCCCGTCTCAGCGCTGAGGTTGGAATTCGGTGGCACGGAATTGGGGAAATTAGAAGCGATGCGGTTGGCCTCCTTCCCTTGCGATTCGGCCGCCTGCAACCTGGCAACGGCGTTTCCGTGTTGGCCTGCCTCGTCGTCGGCCAGGGCCTGATAGTACTGGGACATGGAGCTCATGAGGTTTGATTTTACCTGCGGGCGTTAGCCGAAGCTCGCCAAGCTGCACGGTGGGGAGACAAAAAGACAGATCTTACCTGCACCATGAGAAGCCAGACCTTCTCGAATATGGCCCTGTTGAAGTTGTCCTGGACGCCTTCGACCGCCTGCGCATACAGGTACGCAGCTTGGCTGGCAAGCTTGGCAAGCAGCGCCACCTTCTTCTTGTCGGCCACCTGTTTCTCCAGGAACACCTCCTGCGCTTGGGCCAGCATGATGGCGATGAGCGTCTTGACGGTCTCGCGGCTGAGGTCGGACGAGGGCGCGTGCAGAAAGTTCTCGTTGATGTAAGTGAACATGCCGGCGGACGCCTGGAACGAGTGGTACGCCGTCTTGAGGCCCGACTCCTCGGATCTCGTCTGGTGCGCGGCGTGGCATGACAGCACGGCGGATATGTTGAAGATTATGGAGGCTTTCTCGAACGCGAGGGAGTACTGTGCTGTCGACTTGTGGGTGAAGGCGTCGAACCTGTGATCGGCGGGTGTCAGTCTGCGGGCGCGGCTAGCTTGGGGAGCGGGTAGTACCATGTGAAGGAGATCTTGATGTGCTGCTCGTCGACGGGGAAGCGCAAATCGAGCAGCTCGAGCTGGCCATAGTATCTGTAGAGCATGTCGCGACCCGAGGTGCTGTCCTTGCCGGCGCCCCTCACATCCTGTCGCAGGCGGTTGAGGGTGGCGCATTCCTCGGCGTAGCGCTCGGGATCATCGCCGTATGTGTTGCGGATGTAGTCTTTCAGCGGGGAGACCCAGTCGATCTCGTTTGTGGCCTTGAGGGGCGAGGAGATCATGGGAGACTGCGTCATTTTGAAAGATGAGGGCGAGCTTGGAGCCCGGGCGATGGATCAAGTGGTTCGCAGTCTCGCGGGGGGTGAGTGTTTTGCTGTGGACGGGCAGCCTTATTCAGATGCCGTGATGATTGGGTGGCATACGGGGCCTCGTCGGAGGTGACCTCTGGGTGTTTGGTCAGGAACTCGCAGCAGGAGGTGGACGGATGCAGCTCGCCGGGTCAGGATACAGTCGGTGGTTGCTGTCTTGTGCTGTTGTGTGCGGAGTGCGGGGTGGGGGCGGGAAAGCGGCGATTGAGGCAGACCAGTGTCAGTGCACTCTGGGATCCGTCACCCTCTTTCTGTACGTACTCTGTAAGGTACGGATACTGCTCTTCAGAGGTTGGCCGGTGGTGCTGATGGAGAAGAGCTAGCGTGCAGCGGCTCCTCTCGGCGTCGAGGACGGCGGCGGCGGCGGCGTCGTGTCCGTCGGTGGGCTGCTGCTCTGCGGCCGGTCTCAAGTCTTCCGAGGTGTGTGTAGTTCGGTGGCACGATATGCTGGTGGCAGCGAGGGCCTTATTAGATGTTGCGGGTGCGTTTAGTTCTATTGCTTGTCAAAAGGAGTCCCGAGTTGGTCTGCCTGTGAGGTCATAGTGCTGGGGTTGAAATGAGAGACGGGCAGTTGATTGAGGCGGGGCAGACGGGCGCTGAGAGCTCCCTAGATAGGTAGCTGCCGGCGCGTCGAGGTGTCTGGTCTTTGTGTGACTCTTGTCGTCTCCGGCGGCGGCGGCGGCGGTGTTTGGTGGACGAAGCGCCCGACAGACGGTGAGTGCCGGGTGGGAGGGCAGGGCTCGGAGAGTTGGGGGCGATGAGAGAGGTGGGAAAGGAAGGCTGAGTGATGGAGGAGCGGTGTCCCGTCGTCTTGTAACTCTCAGCTAGGCGAGCTGGGCGGGCAGGTCGAACGAAGCTTTGTGCGTGGTGTTGACGTTGGCGCATAACGTGGTCCGCAGCAGGGCACGTTAGGCTGTCGTACGTAGCCGCCAGGCAGTGATGAATGATTGCCCGCCCACCAGGAACCGGGGAGGTGCCTGGCTTTCTGGCGGGGCCCGACCGAGGGGGCGCTTGAGGTCGATGAAGAGATGCAAGGTACGTCCTTCTCTCAGAGGATGCTTCCCTTCTCTCAACGAGGACATCAACAACGGGAATCTTCCAAATACACCACATGCAACGTCCGTCATTCAGCACTCATTCCCCATTCACCCCGGTCAAGCCCAACGCCTGACCGACCTGCGGTTGACCGACGCTCTTCCTGCATTTTCCATCACGTTCCGCAAGTGCGAGGTGCCAGGCAACCTCAACACCAAGCTATTCGTCGGGCAGCTATCCCACCTCACTTCTACCTGACATCGCCCGCTGTCGCTGCGGACCCGGCAGCTATGCTGTCTCCAATGAGTAAAGCCGTTCGCGCAGCAGCAGCAGCAGCAGCAGCAGCAGCAGCAGCATCGCGTATTCAGCCCCGGCCAGCAGACATTCACCAGTATGTAATTCGTCCTCCCTCGACACAACCGGACGGCCTATCCTTTGACTTTGGCCGGAGTAGAGTGAGACAACCCGATGCGACGTCCCCGTCTCTGCATGCTGCCTCACTCCACCCTGCTTAGGTACGATTAGCCGGCCATCTCGTGATATCCGCCGGTCTGCCCCTCAGCCAGACCGCACCGCTTCCTCGTCACGGTATCATCGCTGCTTACACCATGTGCGTCTGCTGCAGTAAGCACGAAAGCGAACCATCCGCATCTCACACAGGACCATTGACTCAGCATACCTACTTCGCAGGCTTCACGATGCCGTCTTGTCCCACCAAGTCGACCAGATTAAAGCACCGCTCGGCCTCAAACACCAGAAACACGATAATTCCACCAAAATCTCCAGCTCCTTGAACATCCCATGTCCGAGCAACGACATTGGCTATGCTCCCTTCCCGCCCTCATGCAGGTGACGGGCCACGCGAAGAGCTGCCCCTCCTCTAGTACCCCTCATTGGCCGGCGCTTCGCAACCCCACCACAGGGCCGGACAGGGGGGGCCAGAACTTCATCCCGACCCCTCAAGAGCGAGGTAAAGTTTCAAGCGAACTGGTCCGAACGGCCCGCTCTGCAGGGTTGGGAGCTCTTTGTGCGAGATCGATAGTCCGGCGTCTCTTGTCTGTCGTTGTGTCTTTGACATGTGTCTTTTGCAAGGTGCTGCAGAAAATGACCCAGAATGCCATTGTCACTGCAAGACAGACTGATCTTCATGGGGAGGCCATTTCTGCGACCGCAACGCTCGGCCTTCTGCGCATCATCTGCCATCATGCCGGGGTACATGGCGAGATGCGGAGGCATGGAGATGTCAATCAGCGGCCAGAGCCAACCGCGCGTTTTCCACAACCGAGCGCCTCACGCTTCAGACCTCAAGCGCAGCGGCCCCCATCACAATTAGGCGCCTCAGCCTCCCTCTCACAGTCAACCCGCGGGAACAAGTGTTGGTTGCTCATGTACATGTCTTCGTGATATTGATTGGGTGATTTCTCTGTTTGTAAAGTGTCTGAGGTGAGTGGCCTCCGCGGCGGGAGCTGGCTTTTCTTCCCCTCCCCCACCCTCGTGTGTCTATACTACATTGTACATTGCGGAGTAATACAAGCATCAATCGGCTTTTTCTCCAAACCACATAAGCAAGGGCTTCTTTCTAGGTGGTCTCCCCGCTCTGCCGACGCCAGGGATAGTTTCGTAAATAAAAGGACAGGACAGAATCAGTAAAACAACCGTTTTGAACACCTTCCATGCAAACACCCCACCACCGTCTAATGATGATTAACGTAAGTCTGCTGCACGTAAAGAGCCGCCCGCCGTCGGAGGCCGATATCGTTACAGCCAACGCTCACCGTCCGGGGTCAGCCTCTCACTTGGAGCCGTCCTTGTCGTCCTTCTTGTTGGGGTCCGAAGGCTTGCCGGCGGCGTCGTCGGGGCCCTTGTGGGCGGGGTGGTTCGTCAGAGTATGCCACATGGACTTGAGGAAGCCCTCATTCTTGTGAGACTCTGAGTCTTCCGGCGAGATCGGCTGCGACCTGCGCCGTGGTGGTTAGTAACCGGGTGACAGGGGCACAGCGGACGGAACTCACCCCTGGGGAGTGACGTTCATGATTCTCTTGGCCGTCTTGTCGCCCATCTCGTTCGCCAGCATCTCCACCAGGGTGCGCTGGTTCGCGCTCAGGTACTTGGGCATGTTGACCCGGAACTCCACCTTGAGGTCGCCCGAGCCGCCCCTGCGGCCATTGAGCTTCTTCATGCCCATGCCCGAGAGCGTCAGCTTGTCGCCCGTGTTAGTGCCCGTGGCGACCTTGACGTTGACCTGGCCGTCGAGCGTCGGCACGGTGACCTCGCCGCCGAGCATCGCCGTCGTGATGGGGATCGACGCCGTGTAGAGAATGTCGGAGCCCATGCGGCGGAACTTGGGGTCGGACGCCACGCGCACGAACACGTAGAGGTCGCCCTTTTGCGTGCGCATGTTGGGCTCCGTGTTCTTGCCCGTGACGGGGGCGTCGCCGGCGCCGTCGACGCGCAGCCGCATGCCATCCTCGATGCCGGCGGGAATGTCGACGGTGATGGTCTTGCGCTCCCTGACGACGCCGTTGCCCGCGCAGGATCGGCACTCGGAGCCGCGCGGGATCGTCGTGCCCGTGCCGCCGCACGCGTTGCACGTCGACGCCATCTGGAAGCCGCCGTTCATGAAGTGCACCCGCGTGCCCGAGCCGTTGCAGGCGCCGCACGCCGACCGCTTGGTGCCCTGCTTCAGGCCGCTGCCCGTACACGTGCCGCACTCCGTCAGGGGCGTTATCGTGATCGTCTTGCTCGTGCCTTTAGCCGCCTCCATGAACGATATGCTCGATTGCACCTCGATGTTGTCGCCGACGAGTATCTCCTGCTGGAACGGGTTGCGCCCGGCGCCGCCGCGACGGCCAAACGGCGAGCCCTGGCCGCCGGTGAAGGCCGAAAAGATGTCGTCAAAGTTGAAGCCGCCGCCGAATCCGCCCTGGCCGCCGAACCCGCCGCCGAACGGGTTGCCGGCTCCGCCAAACGGGTCACCGCCGGGTGCCCCGCCGCCGCTGGGGTCGAAGCCGGCGGCGCCGAACTGGTCGAACTGCTGCTTCTTCTTGGGGTCGGAGAGAATCTCGTATGCGCTCTGGATCTCGCCGAACGTCTCCTTCGCCGAGGGGTCCTTGTTCGTGTCCGGGTGGTACTTCTTCGCGAGGCCGTAGTACGCCTTCTTGATGTCGCCGGCCGAGGCCGACTTGTCGACGCCCAACGTCTTGTACGGGTCGCTCGGTGCGAGGGCGGGCGACGTTGCGTGGAATGCCTATAATGAAGCTCGTGAGCATGCTGTGCAGCTTCATGTCAGGTGGTGCGTCACTTACACGCTTGGATGAGGGAGCTTGACATGTCACCCGGGGAGCTGGAGACTTCGTGGATCTGGCGGTAAAGGTTCCGCCGCCGGTATGGATGCCCGCGCGCTTGCAGACGGCATCCTTGAGCTTGGTTTGCCGAGAAGAAATACGGCTCGACAACAGACGGCCTGGTGCCGCTGCCTTTGTGAGAATGCTTGCATTCATTGTGAGCTGTGTCGACGCATCTGAAGCAGTGGTGTCGTAGAGTTTAGAGGGTTAATAATTGGCTGGGGGACGCGGAAAAGCATCTAGCGCGCAAGTGGAACTCTCCCGCAAATTCTTTGCCCTTCGATGTGCCATTGAGTCGGGACGGTTATGATATCAACTTTTTTTTTTTTTTTTTTTTGGCCCGATGCTAAGCCGAACACCGGTGCCTGCCTGAGGCCACTGGGCCCTCGCCCGGAGCCTTTCTGCTCAGGGCGGTTTACAGGGGCCGCGGGGCTGCTGCACGGCGAACGTCAGCAATTTGCGACGACTTTAAGTGGTGCGCGCAGCCGCCCCACTCCAAGTTGCGTCCTGGTGGAAATTCGCGGGTAAATGCGCGTTGTGTGCGCCGCCCTGCTTGCTCTCTGCTCTGCTCTACTCTGCGCCGTGACTGGGAGCCGGCACCGGTTGCACACAGCCATGCAGAAGGGAAGGGATTGTGTGAGTGACCGAACCCAAAACGCCCAAATATCATTATGTAGTATCGTAACTATGTAAAAGGCCTGCGACGGAGGGTCTCTTTTGCCCCCGTCCGTCCTTTCTTTTCCATGTGGTTTCCCGCCTAGGATGAGGTATCATTATGCACTCCGAAGTCGCCCACGCAGCCTGTTCAGGCTGCACTTTCCAAAGCAGAATCGCATGCCAATCAGCTCCTGTAGATGCATGTTGTGGTCGCAAAAACAATGTGGTGTACGTCATATAGCGTCGTCAAGCGTCGTGGGGATTTGCTCGCCTGCTCCGATCGGCTTTAGTGATGGAGTGGCTCCTGACCTTGTGGATAAAGTCCACGATCACGTCGTTCTCCTGGACCCCGAGACCGTTGAAGTGTTTCCGCACAGTCATGGCGAGCTGCTCCTTGCTCTGCCTCCGGTTCTCCTTCTTCCGGGCCATCGTGGGGGACTGCAGCCCGATGCCTCCGGGTCGTGACAGCACCAGTTGGCGGTACGAGCAGGAGAAGGAGGTTGGGGTGTTGAGGTGGTGCTCGCGACGGTAAGCGTGTAATGTCTCTCGGTCGAAGGTGTTCCATTGCAGCTGGGAGAACGAAAGTGTTAGCAGGCTGCTTCGTGATCGTGGCGTGAGGGTGTCTGTCTCCTTACCCCTGGGTTCTGTGCCTCCTGCTTCGTGGGCACCGCCTCGGCAGCCGCGCTGGCGTTTGTGACCTCGCGCAGGTTGGAGCCGGTCGAGCTGGCTACACGCCGCATCTTGCCATTTGTATGACTTCCGGGGCCGGACGAGTGCTTTTCTTTCGTCGTTGGGCCCTCGGCTTTGGAGTCGTCGTGTGCCGCAGCGGTCTTGGAGTTTTTAGGAGCCATGACGAAGGCGACCAGGGTGAGAAGGGCTATAGAGTGGTTGTTAAATCGCCGAGGCCGTCTGTAGTGGTTCGGTCGGGTCTCTAGAGTGAAAAGTAGGCGTCGGACGGTATCACATTGTATTCGGAGCAGCAATTGAGCAGGAAGTGGTGCGAGTGGGAGAGAGCAGCCGGGGGGAAGATTTCACGTCATGGCTCTCTCTGTTGGTTGCTGGACCGGCCGGTTGCCCAGGGCCTTGCCTGCCTCAAAAGTGAGCTGCGGGGCGCTGGCGGCATTCGGGGACTCAGCGAGCTGTGTGCCTGGTGGTGCGACAAGATAGCACTGATTAGGTACGTACCGCGTGAGCAGCACCCTAAAAATGCCTGCCAAACAGCCGCCTGCCTCGGTGAGTGCTTGCTCATTTTTCAGCACCAACCACATTAGGATAGTGGGTGACCCACGCCGCCCACTTGGCTCTCTTGGCAGTCGGCCCCTCCCCCATCCATCCCGCGACTCATTTTTCGTGCAGGAACTCATAGGAGCACGCAGACGATTGAGAGCCAACGAAACAAACTGTCAACACGGCCAGCTGACATGGACCTCTACGCTTGGGGTGCTTGACTGGGGGAAGAGGGGGCATCGAAGGGGGCAGAAGGGGGCAGAAGGGAGTCATGCTCACTATGAAGCAGACCGGAGCAGACGACGCCCTCACCAAGTCAGATTACACCTACGATTCATGGGCTGCTGCAGCCCGGGCTTCACTCAGTATTACCTACTCACGGAGTAGGCGAGCCGGAGCCGGTGACGGCACAGACTGAGCCCTGCAACATGCCAAACATCAACGACGCAATAACGGGAGTTCCCATTGTCGTCACACCTTAAGTCGACGGAACAAAGAAGACAGACCAGACAGACCGTTACAACTTGCCAGCCAAACGACATAGTTCCGTCCAATCTAGGGGTCTCCCACACGGGCTGGGGCGCTTTTCGGCTTACCTCATGCGGATGGCTCGCAGTACGCTGCACGCACAGTTTCCCCACGCCGCATGACCCCTCAAGCACAAAATTTTACCTTACATCTGCGTTCCATACGGCTCCTGACAACAAGTAGAAATTCAATGCATGAGCCCGAACAACGGCGAACTGGAGGGCCGCTCGCACCCGGAAATCCCACAGACGGTGTCAACCCCAAGTTCTCCGCACGCCAGTACAGGTAGCCATACGAATACGTTGGGTGCGTGGGAATATGCCATACTGCTGCATGGTCACCGGCCAGCGATACCTTGGAGCAATAGCGTACGACAGGCCGGCGAGGGCGCCCAAGTTTGCTGTGCTCGCTGGTCATCCCATACCGAAAGAATGTGTGTGGTTTCTTATCCCGCGCTGGGCGACAGGCGTGGCTGGCCCAGCGGTCTGGGTCACGGCTCGCACGTAATTGATATCCCGCGTCCTGAGGGTCATCCCACGTCCGGACGCAGGTGGACCAAGAGACCCCCAAACTTTCTTTCAACGCCAGCCCGAGATCTGATCGATTCTCCAGGGCACGTCTCTCACAGCGCCGGCGTCGTGGACCCCGCAATGCCGAGAATGCCATCCCGGGGCCGATGGGCGAGGCGGCAGTTGAGCAAGTGCCAAGCTAGTCATTGGCACACATTCCCCCTCAACGACCCGCAAGGCGATGGTTGGCTGCCAGAACGATGGGCTGCTTTCGTCCGTCCGGTGGCGAGCAACGAATCGATTTGCAGAGATTTGATCAGGTGCTGCAGTCGAGGACCTGCATCGATGCAGCAACCTGCAGTTGAACCAGTTCGCCGCCGCTTGCTCGACAGAAAGGTCCTTTGTTAGAAGCACAGCACAAGCCCCGAGCGCTGCTGCTCGCCGGATATCCAAGAAAAGCAGCCCGTCTTCTTTCGTCGCCCTCAGCCAACACGCAAGGGAGACTGGCGATTCGATGGCCACCCTGGAGGCTGGCTTCGGGAGCATTTGTCCAACTCCCCATGTCCCTGATCGCGGCTCGCTCTCAGTGGGGATTGTCGCATGCTGACTGGCGATCGATCAAGGACCAGCAAATCACCCCTGTCCCCTTTCGACTAGGATTCTCGGTCTTCATTCTCGGAGCTGGAGAACGCGTCTGGAATTTTGACACCGCTTCACTCTGGTACGCCGAACGACAGGATTGTCTCAGAGGCACTGTGCGTTGCTAAGCAGTCATGTCGCTACTTCCGGCTAAGTGTACGGAAAGATAGTCGCCTGCCAAGCACAGCTCAAGCTGACCGGGCACATTACAACTACTTGTGTGAACGTCTAAACCCCAAGTTAACGACACGTCAGTGAGACATTCCCCCCTGTTGGATGACCTTCATCGAAGGCCCGCGGAAGTCGACTCGAGCCCACGACGCCCACTCTCGGTTGGTTTGGTCGAGTGGTGGGGGACCAATTCTCCACAGGGTGTGATCAGCAAGGGGACGACTCCAACAACGGGAGGTGCTCAAGATGCACGGTTTCTCCAATCTCGAATGCCAAATGGACTCTTTTGCGACTAGCGAGAGTCGTGTGCTGCCATACCTATTTGAAACCACGCCCATGCCCCATCAGGAACCCATTACGAGATGAGATGGACCAAGAAGATGATAGCGCCCAAGGTCATTAGCAGAGATGCGAATCGGCTTCACTGACGCACCGGCACAGTGCTCCCACGCCAGGCGGTAGACCCGGGAGTGCGGTATTTGTACCTGACGTGCGCTGCGCACCTCAGCCTCAGGCGTGGGGTGTTAGCGACCGACCGGCGACAACATGACAGCTGCCTGCGAACGAAGCTGTCTGCGTCTAGTGCCACGGCATGTTTGTCTATGGACGAGGATGACGGCTGGTCTCACAACTTAGACGCGATAGCCGGGAAGGCCAACGGCGCCGTTGGGTACGACATGGCACCAGATGAGCTGTGCCGGGAGGCTACTGGAGGAGACGGTCAAGTGAATGCAGAGGCGCTGTGGCCCGATGGCAGCATCAACTCCCATCGCAGGCCTCGCCCACCTGACTCTGCACGGTGCCGATGTCCATCTTCGTCTGTTGCACTATGCAGTCTGTCTGATTTCATTTCGTCATTCTCGAGCGCCGCTAACCCTCGCCAATATTGACACCAAGACAGCTTCCAGCGGCAGAAGGTCCCGAGAAGTGCGTGTGGCCGAGCACACTAGTGAGGACGATCCTGTGTTGAAATAAGCTGCAGTGTCTGTGGGCAAGCTCTCGCCCAGGCTAGCAGAAATTCGATGCCTTACAGATGCGCTCCCAGGAAAGCTCAAGGTGACACCGGCGGCCGATCCACGCAACTCGTGCGCAGGTCGGGGAATGGCGCCCCGGATGGGCCATGTCCAAGCTCCAGACCGTGCCCATCCCCACACGTCTCGTCTTCTTCAAGTGAACATCCTACACCGGGCATCCCTGCGAGACTAACCGCGCCGGTCACTGGGGGGCCATGTCGCCCTACAAGAGAGGGACTCGGGGTCTGGAGGGTCCTCTGCCGCTACAGTCGATCAGGCTGAACGCACACTGTCTGTCGTTATTCTCTGGTTTCCATCGTGCCATCGTACGACGAGTGAGGGCCGTTGAACACACATCATGAGAGAAGCCTCCATCGCATGCTGTTGTTCCAAGTGGAGCCAGCGGTGGAAGTAATGAGTCTGGAGGGCTGAGGGCTGAGGGCTGATGGTTAGTGCGTGGAACAGAAGACGAGGCGGGCAACGTGACAGAAGACGCTCGGTCGCCAACGCCTCCATTTGTCCACCTCGAAATCGCAAACGCACGACAAACAGTCCTTCGAATCAAGCCGGGATCAAACGGATCTAGACGTGACAGTCCCTCGACCGCCCGCGCCCGATGAGACACCGAGGCCAGTCCTGCTTTGGGGTTGGCACGATGGCAGACAATACGGCTGTCCCGGGCAAATATCACGCACCACAGAACCAAGTAAATGACGAGGCGCAGGCACAAGAGTGCAGTTCCTGTCACTTGTCAATTCTCGTTGCAACGGTACCGAAGACTGGCTGAACGCCCTTGTGGTTTGCCAGTGCCAGCCTTTGGGTGGTGGCTTGCATTTGAGCATCGGATATAAGCAGGTCGATGACGGCGCGAGCAGGGACAAGGGAAGCAACATGCTGGGACGTTGAGAACCGCCAGATCGATCAGATGAGAGCACCGAGAGAAAGCAACCCAACGGTGGACGTGGATCGACGACACGACACCGTGACCGGCTCGCTGGAGATGATGCCGTCGACTGACAATACACACGTCGTCTCACAGTGCGGGCTGGGTGGCCAGAGATGGGCATCTCGTTCTCGGGGCGCCGTCTGTCCAGGTACCTTGCCATGCAATTAGTGCCAGCCCAAGTCGAGTCGCCTCCCCCTCTCCGAGTGCACCCCCAAAGGCTGTCGCAACGGGGGCCACTTCGCGGCCCTAACAGCGTTCCAACCGCCTTTCCCATATTATTCGGGGCTACTAAAGGACCCCCATGGCGTGTGGTACACCACACTTTTTGGCAGGTTGCCGTCTCTCGATGCTCCTATGGGAGCTGGAAGCTGGCAGCTTAGTTGCTGCAATTACTGCTCCGGGACAGGTCGAGACAGGGCAGGCAGGGCATCGCATCGCATCGCATCGCATCGCAGCGCAGTAGGTACATCACGCCGCGGGCCTCACACCCAGACCTGGACATGGACCTGACTGGTCCCGACCTAGACCCGGGGGGAGGGGCTCCTCATTCACACCGGCCGGCTCATCTGGGAGGAGGTGGTGGGAAGAGACGCCTGGGTGCCAGAGGCGAGGTCGAGGGAGACGAGGGAGACGAGAGTGGGAGTGCCATAAGACCCCCCACACTCCCACCCTGCGTCTCTGTCCTGCTTTGCTGCTGCCCACTTCCCCAGGACCTGGACCCCGACTTGTGCCATTGAGGTTGATCAGTGAGACTCGACTTGACGACAGCAACCGCATCACGACGCGAACGGGCACCACCCACGCACGACACCACGCGA